TTTCGCATCTTGCTTCGACCTTTGCATATCCTCGCGATGCTCAAACCACCACGTCAAAAGGAGACCGTCTCGCTTTAGTGCACACGTAGCCCGGTACTTTATGTACGAATGCCTATAGCTGTGTAAAGTGGCTGCATAATGTTTGTGTGAACCTGTTTGTTTCGATTTAACCGCGAGCCCAACAATGTCCCATTGGAGACTGGCTAATCTTCGGTGTTTCATGGTGTTTCCTCTGAGCGCATGCCGATCTTTGCGACGGCTAGGTCGCTAACATTGGGGCCGACGATGCCCGTGGTAACGACCTGCGCAATGGCTGAGAAGCTTGTAGGGGGCAACATGCTTCGTTGTAGTATATCTTACTGAGCGGAGCGCTGGAAAGACGAACATTCGGGGCTCTCGGCTACAGCCAAACATGCTGATCTGCGTTGCATTTCGTCCCGCGGACAGCTGTTCAAAGTCCTCTGTCGAAGAGCTGAGAGGAAGAAGATCAGCTTAAAAAGCCTTAAACGCAGCATCACTTTGCAAACACACAGGTAGAGTGAATTAAGAGACGCATGTCTGCGTCTGTGTTTGGAAAACATGTGCCATGGTCTCTCCACAAAGGAGCTTCTTCACCATCTGGAGCGGGGTCACTGTCAAAAGTCCTCGAGGCGCATATGCCAGTTCGCCGCTGAGTCTCGAAAAGCGTCCTCGACGCTCAGGAGTCGGCAAAGCTCAGAGCCCAGCATCAACACTTTCTCCTCTCCACATTGGGGGCATCGTGTAGCCGCAGACGAGCCTTCGTGGCTGCGTACGTTGCCGGGGAGATGAGCTTGACGGCGGCCACTCTTCCTGTTGTCCTGGTCCTGGCAGCGCTGCGTTTCACGATCTGCTCCTGCGAGACTCCGTCAGGAAGGCCACGTAGTAGTTGCAGAGAAAATGCTGGAGCTGCGCCTCATCTTGGGTCCACGTGGAGTCCGACGGTGCCATTGAATGTCGGTACGAAGGAGATGCCCCCAGCGAGGTTGAAAGCCTGTGCAGGTGAACGGGGGAACTTCGAATCACAGAGAGACACAGGCCAGGAAACGCATGAGCTAGATTCGCTCAGGCTTGGGCAGGTTGGGACTCGTGGTGCTATTCTCGGAAGACTCGTAAGATTTAGGACGCCGAGGGCAGCAAGGAATGCACTGTGAGCATCTTGCACTGCAACATGCGCTGATGATCTACAGCTGGCCTGGCGATAGGATATGTATTGTGAGCCGTCGTAGTACTGCAGCTCCTCGATTGGTGCTGGCCCTCACTGCACAAGGAAACCGTGCTTTGCGAAGGTTGTTCCGCATCCCAATGGCCAAGGCCAGGGGTGTGTATGACAGTGTGTGATCCGACACAGCTCTGTGCAAAGGAGAAACCCGGGAAGGAGAGGAAAAAACAAATGGCTAACACCGAGAACATCACGTGTGCGAAGTTCTGTGAATTAGCTGACCTCCTTCAACCCCAATAGCCCTAATATGCTCTAATTTTTCGCTCAGTCGCCAGGCTTTCCGCAAACTCGCCGCTGGCGTCAGACTGCGTCACTTCAACGCATCCCACCTCAAGTCGAACATCCAAACTACGATGGAACGGGACAGCCAAAGAAGACTGTCTTCATTTCGGTCGTTCTTTCTGGTGTAGACCTACTCGGGATGGGCCCGGAGCTCACTCGAGATTTCTGGCGCTCACTCCAACTAGATGACCTAGACTTACACCACCGGAACTACATGTTTGCAATAACGTCTTCTGCAGGCGAGCGTGGCTATCCAGGTGGGTGGATCGGTGGTGGTGGTCTCGGCGTGGGTGTGGCCACACGTGGGTGGTTTGGTAACTTGTTTCGAGCACTCTGGCTCCACAGTCGTCCAGATTGGTGTCGAAATCCCGACTGAGACTTGCAATCAGAGAAGCCAGGTCTTCCGAGAACGCTGCCAAGTTCTCTGGTTCTTGATGCTCGAACCTGCTGCACTGGCATGCAGGCCTTCACGGCAACGTTCACGTCGTTCGCCCCAGACAGGCCACTTCCAAAGCCTTCAGAAAAGTCCAGAGTAAACGAGAGAAAGCATGACGCGGCGGGTTGCATGCTTTCAGCGTTCGTGCTGGAATTCCGCTATAAAATTCCCGGCCGGAGATCACCTCACCTTTCAAGACAGGTATTGGATGTTCGGGGTACGTCCTGCTGATACACGTGCATGAACTGGCTGGAGTGGAAAACTGTGTGTACCAAGGTGGCGGAGGACCTAAACCTGAACTGCACCGTAGGCGATAAGCCATACAAAGGCCGTGAAACACTACCCGTGAAACGGGCTGGCCAGGGAGCTGAATCCAATGTGGCAGTCGCCAGGGCCACAAGGACGGCCCGAGAGGAATCCAGGACCGAGCCCATCCTCCACTTTCGGATAGGCAAACGAACAGTTTATGGAACTACAGCTAGTCTGGCCAATGCAACAGACTGCAGAGCTGGTGCATTTGCCGCATTTGCTTGTCTTGTAGTTTGCTGTATAAAGGTTTCGAAGACTGCGAAAAACCTCCTCTGATCCAGAAGATTCGGCTCTTTCTATCTCTACTACCATTGAGCTGATCAAGAGGTGATGGAAAAGCCACTTGCAGCACGAGTTTTCTTGTACGGGTGTAGACAGACAGAAGTGACATAAATCCTGCAAAAAGCACCGTGATTGAGACTGCAAGAATCAGATCGTGTTACTAGACGTTGACCGAGCTGTCGATTCTTATGACCCTAGGGTTTCTGGATAATTGGGTATTCATGGGTATTCTGTGGCTTGCATTCAGCTCATACGGGTGCGATAGCACAAACCAAGACTATGCAGAAGCTCTGCTTGTTAATCTCGCAACAGGAGCGACGTTTTGGGGCAAAGCCCGAAGCCGCATGCTTGCAGACGGAGACAAGTAATCGGGCCGGCTCAGAACAGGCTTCGGCTAGGGTATCCAGAAGTCCCAGACCCGAAATCCACCCAAACTCCCAATGCGATCCCTGCGAGCCTCTGAAATCTCAAACAAGCCGACGGGCCTCAAACAAGCTTTCCAGCGGCAAAGGGCCCGGGTCTGAAAACGGAAATCCTGTCGGAAGTGGTTGGCCTTGCAAGTCGCAATATTTGGGCTGAGGCGTCTCAAGATGGCATTGCTCATGCAGCGTGTTTCCACGGCGAGGGCACTGCGATGCATTTGCGATCTGGGACCAAGGAGCACAACGTCTCCACCAACTCGCACAGGAGCAAACAGAGTCCAGCCTTCGTCCCACGTGCTGAGCAGCAGATCTCGGTAAGGCGCGGGGTATGCAGCCACACTGCGTGAGCCTCAGGACGCGTCTGCTTCCAGGTTACTTTCACTGTTACTTGCGGTCTTCTTCGCATCGAAATTACTGCTGCTCTCCTTGGAAGTGAGGATCTTGTGGTGTGCAAAGAGATTCAGCTACAGAGGACAACTCAGCGACATCGTACTGTTTGTGCTTGGGACGCCCCGGCAAACAAGACAAGCGCTCCGACCGTCTCTTCGCCTGGGGCCCCTGCACGTCACATCCGAGAACATCCGCAAGTGCTGGACCTGCGCAACTCTGCACTCATGTGCTGACCGACACGGATGAGTATACTCGAAGCCAAAGCTGAATACGGAGAATTCGCAGGTGGAGTATAAAGGATGGAACTGTCATCCATGCTCCTTTTCGACTCTGTAAACGTTAAACGGCAAGAAGGTTTTGACAGCGAATGACTGTAACTTGAATGACTCCTGATTCCAGTGTAGTGTCACAGCGTTCAACCATCAGCTCCCTCAGAGAGACTGTGCCCAAATCAAATCCCGGCACTGCAGATCCGTGTAGGCGGAAAAGGCGAATGTGAAAGCGCACGCTCACCCCAGTGCAATCCCCGCCTAGACAAGTCTATAAGCTCTACAACTGAGGGCTGGTGTCCTACAGTCTGGTTGACACTACTTACCTCGGACATTTGCACCTTCCACTCCGTCGAAACCAGACTGAGAGGGACCAAGCGCCACCTGAACAGGCTACTGGGCCTTATTTTCGCTTGTGTTCTTGCCAATTTACCAGTGCAGGGAAATTGATTTATTCGCTATGCAACAGAGCATAGCAGAAAAACACACCGACCGTGCAGTGGCACGGAGATAGGAAGGAGTCTTACCTGTTTAGCTCTGGCTCTGGTAGGATCAAAACGGATGCCGCTGAGAGAGTTTTTCCTTGAGAGGGCTAACGCCAGAATACGTTGGTGCTCAGGCCCAGGCTTGAATAAACCCAAGGATTCTCGCAACGAGTGCGGCAACCAAAATCTGCTAGGACAGTGGGTCTGATTTTCAGAAACAGTGGAAGTGTAAGCCGCAATGGCTGTGCGAAGCCTTGACCTTTCAGCCTCGGCAAACTTTCACGTTTACGTCTGAAAGGACCCAGGAGTTGATTGCCACCTCCCGCGGCCGCGTACAACAGCAGCCAGCTCTGCAGCCAACACCAGTCTTAAGTGCACCAGGAGCAATCCAGAAAATCTCAAGCAGTTGACATGAATGAAAATTCTCCCGGACCACAATGTCCGAAACCGTTCCTCGTGGCGGAGGGCACCGGGTGTGAGTAGGGAATGGCCGAGTTCACGGTCATCTCCTTGGCGGAACAAGCCCTGAGGCATCATCAGGAAAGGTGACTTCCTTCACTAAGGCTGCGGCTTGGATTTTTCAGGAGTGTTACGTAAGGGCGGGAATCGAAGATAGGCTGGTGAGTGCACCCAAACAAGACTTGCAACACGATTCGTCGAAGTTGTCTTCATGAGCCAAGTGTTTTTGAAGCCTTCTTGCACCTGCCTCCCCTCCACTGTTTTCCACTAACTGATCCACATCAAATCACATCAAGCTCATGCGCTCCAACTCAGCAAAAGTCCTTCCGCCCTAAACCCTAAACCCAGGACTCGCGATTGCAGATTGTAGCTTCGGTTTCGGAGCCGTCGGGTCAATGTGGGGGAGCAGTATATTCACGGTCTACGAAAGACTGTGGCTCGAAAGCTCGTCTGCAATTCATCCGGGTAACATCACCGTTAACGGCATTTTAAGATACTCCGATCACTAGCTTGATACCCTGCCTTTGTATGCAGCATGTCATGGCTTTCCTGCCTGCAGCCTGCACCCCGAATAGGCTTGAGATGCTGGGGCCATGGTTGGGGCTTTGTGAGCACCGAGACGAAGCTGCTCCCTGGTAGACGAAGTCCACGGTTTTCAGTGTGCCATCGTGTCGGTTGAACCCATCTTCGAGGAGAATGAAGATTCGGTACTCCTGGCACGGAGGTCGCAGTCGACCCGTGTTGCTGCAGCCCGGCCCATAAGCCGTAAGAGCAAGCACATGCCGGAGGTAGTTCCTACGTAGGCACTTCAAGTACAAAACCCGATGACCTTGCGACGCTCCATGTACCGACGTGCGGAGCAGTTGACAGTTGACACATTGCCACTGTGGCTAAGGCCATAAACTTCGAAGCATGAAACGACACATCTCCTGGCCAAGCGTGAACTCGCAGTCATAGAGGAAAGAGATTTTTGCTTCTTTTCCTGCTGGCGGTTCGGGGTTTGAGAGTTACTCTCAGTATTTACGTGTGCTTTCAGTCTTTATCCGAAGTCTATTTCTGAAAAGTTGGAACTCGAGACTCCGAGCCCTGGAAAAGCACGATCGGACCCACCATTCAACCTACCGGCCCGACGCGCACAAGGTACAGCGCTGGGACTGGCGATGGAATAGGAATGGTATGGAATGATTCGAGAAGGGTTTCGCTACAAGGCAGCATGTCGCAGCATGTCAGCCAAGGCGCCGAGAATGGGTACTCGCGCGTTTTGGCACTTTCTACCTGCGCAGTCACAGACGCCATGGCCGGGGCGTGCCTTTACATCTAAACGTGTCTTTTTGGCCCTGGTTTTGTTCCGCAGAGCTTACACGTTCCGACCGTGCGACTTCACTTGCGAAATCCGACAATGCAAGCACTACCAGATCTCCTCCTCCTGAAGAGCAAAAGCTTCTACACATCCCCGCCTTCAGAAGCCAGGTACATCGATTTCACTCTCCGGACCCACATGATCCGGTCATCGCCAAGAAGCACCTTTTCCACAGTCTTGAATTGTCACAAGCTGGATGTGGATTTGTAGGTGGCATGCGAGCTGTACACCAAGAGTTGACTATACTCTCGTAACATGCAACAAGCTGAGAGCGAGAGAGAGAGAGAGAGAGACAGACAGACAGACAGACAGACAGACAGACAGACAGACAGACAGAGAGGAAGAATCAGACTCAAGAGAATTGGAGATGTCCACATGCATTCAACGTGTGCAACTTGGCGGACGTCTGCCGAGTTCCGGCTGTGTCCGGCGGGCTTCGTGAGCCTTTTCGACTCCGCTGGACAGGGGCAAAAACTGAGACTGGAGGGTGAGCCGGACGTCTGGAGTAGGCTTTGCGAATGGGCACCCGCGACAAGTGCAAGCAGCACGGAATAAACATCTAAGCGCACTGTCACGCCCAACGGAGAAGAGGTCCTTTGCACACCTTCCCGGGATCAAGCCGGTCGTGGCCTCGTCACCACCAGCAACACCAGCAACAAAGGCCCGAGCACTGGCACCCCAGCAACAACAACAGCAACAGCAGCAACAACAATAACGATGACGACGACGAACAACAGCACCAGCAACGGAACCGAAGTTTTCAACTTAAGTGTGGAGCTGGTGCCTCTTTTTCGCAACTGCACGTGGTCTGATGTGAAAGGTATATTCTGTCGCGCTGTCGCCGGTCTTTCACATACCACATACTGAGTGCTTCGCCTGATCAGCATATCCGCCAGCGGTGGGGACAGCATACATCCACTCGAAGCCCTTCGCCAACACAAGGCAGCACTTGGGTAGCGAGCGGCAGGGACAAGACGAGAATGAATACGGTGACGTTTCAAACAATCGGGGCACTCCAGCTTGCAGCCTGGTTTTGTTGCCGACAGCTGAGTTGCTTGCAAGGGCCTCGAGGTCATGAGGCTATGGGGAGCTTCGAGTGTCTACATGTGCCAGAGCGTCAAATTTCCACACGTCTGGGAGCACATGTTCCATGTAACCCCCCGACTGCAACCGCTATCAGCCGGCCATCAGCCGGCATACTCTCAAGTTCAGACCTCCCGTAACACACTTTGCAACTCTCTCTGAAGAAGTCCGCTAGAAGGGGAAACACTTCCAGAAGCAGCGCTTCCCTTCCCGCAATACTACTCCCCAAACCTACTATCTGCTACAACTACCACTCCCGTAGCAGCAGCAGCAGCAGCAGCAGCAGCAGCAGCAGCAGGAGCAACAGCAGGAGGAGTAGTAGCAGTAGCAGTAGCAGTAGCAGTAGCAGTAGCAGGAGCAGGAGCAGGAGCAGGAGCAGTAGCAGTAGCAGTAGCAGTAGTAGTAGGAGGAGGAGTAGGAGTAGTAGGAGTAGGTGTAGGAGTAGGAGTAGGAGCAGTAGTAGGCGCCCCCCCCTACCAACNNTAGTAGTAGTAGTAGTGGTAGTCGTAATAGTCGTAATAGTAGTAGTAGTAGTAGTAGTAGTAGTAGTAGCAGAAGGAGAGCAAGAAGGGGGCGAGGCTTATTTGGAAAATTTCTTTGCTTTGTTTGTGTGTGTGTGTGTGTTTGCTGGTTTTGTTGCAATTCTTGTGGTTTGCGGAACATGGCCCTCTTGTCCTGCCTGTCCTCCTCGTCTGCTTGGAACTCTTTTTTGTGTCATTGTTCTTTGGGTTGATTTTTCGGGTTTCAGGCTTCTACAGGCCTCTGAACGGTACCTCGTCCCGAGAATCTGGCTTGTTTTTCTGTTAACCTCATTTTGCGATTTTCTGAAAGCTTGAAAACTTCTCTTAGAGTCACGTGATTGACGCAATTCTTCTGGATGGCGCGATGTTCTTGAAAGCAAGCCATGCATGGCATTCAAAAGGCTCTCTTTCCTCTCTTCTTCCCTTCTGACCGTTGCCACTTGCTTGTTCCTTGCTTCTCCTCTGTCCTTCTGTCGAAATCGCTTTGTTTGTCCTTCCAGTCTTTCTTTCGTTCGTTCTTTCTTGATGTCATTCTTTGTTTTTCGTTCCTTGTCTCTCTCTCTCTGTCTCTCTTTCTCTCGTTCTTCGTTTCCTTCTTTAATGTTTTCGGCAGTTCTCTTTCAGTCCTTGATCCTTTATTTCTTCCCAGCTTTATCTATTTAGCTCGTTCTGTCGTTCGTTCTGTGCTTCTTTTCTTTCCCTGTTTCTTTCCTTCTGTCTGTCTTCTCTGTCTCTTCTGTTCTTTCTTTCCTCATCTTTCCTCGTTCTGTGTGTCCTTCGCTCTTTCTAAAGTTATTTCGTTTCGTTCTTTGTGTTGTTTCTTTCTGTCGTTCTTTCTTACTTACTCTCGCCTTCCTTCCTTCCTTCCGTCCTTCCTTTCTTTCCTTCTTTCTTTCTCCTGCCTCTTTCTTTCTTTAGTTCTTCAGTCATGTGTTTCTTCCTGTCTTTCTTTCGTTCTTCCTTTTTTTCTTTCTAACATGCCTTTCTTTCGTTCAGCCCTAAAACGCAACCAAAACCAAAGAAATCACAGACAAACACCAGAAACATTGATCACCAAATACGGTACCCAAGGAGAAGTAGTAGTAGCTGTAGTAGTAGCGGCAGTAGTAGTCCTCCTCCTCCCTGCTACTGAATACTGCATTACGAACAGACGGACTTCGCTAGTTCTTCCACGCTGGCAGGCATTGTTGGCTCTGAACGGCCTCGTGGCTGGGGATATACTGCAGGGCGACGGAAGAAGCATTCCGAAAGTAGATGAAGGGACCTGGAGCTCAATTCTTCTTGCACCTGTAGGTGTGGGGTCCAGTATGACCTACGAGTATCAGGTGCAGTGAAACATCAGCTGGCTTCCAGGAGTTCCCAGTCGGTATAGGTTGTGCATTTTGCTCGGCTGTGTTCGTCCATATAAGACTCGCAGACCTTGCCCAGGCCAGTGTCCCTCGCCTCTGCCACGACCCAAGAATTTTGATCTCAGCACTTCGAAATGAGGGTTTCATGAAGACGAGCGAAAAGATACCGTCCAGCTGTTGGTGACATGCTCACCATCCGCCATGCATAGAGAGGAAGAGTGCCAGTTTTACATGGAAAGGGGTGGGCATTGCAGAGTCCCTCCCTCTACCAAGCGAACCTAGAGAGCCACGAGCCGGTTGTCTTCTGCTTTCCAAAAACAAGCTTGACAGCAGCTGCCGCCTTGGTCGAAGACGACGGAAGCCACAATGAAATCAATGTAGGCTGCCTGCCATGGGCCCCTCTTAAGCTTGTCGTCCAACCGACTCCATGCCAGATGTTCTACCGCTTGCTTCTCAAGCTTTAAAATCGCCTGTACTCCACACCCGTCCGACAGCCGACTCAAGAAACGAAACCAAAAACAGGCCTGGCCTCTCCAATAGTGCCAGTTTCCTCAGCCTCTTGGAGGACCCAAAGGCGATAGTTGAAGCCTCCGCAGCTTGGTACCCGTTCCGATTGCAAGGTGTGACATCGTGACCAGTCTATACCAGTCTCAGAGCCTGCAAAGTCTCAATGACTGAGCTTGACGCTGACTCTACAGACTCTAGACTCTACAGTCTCTACAGGCGCACTGGAAAGCTGCAGGGGCTCTTCAAATCAGCATCTACTGACCCCGCAGGGGCCCCTAAGGATTCGAGTCTTGGGCCCGAACTGCCCCCAACGCTCAGCGAGCACCCGGAGAGCTGGAAGGTGATGTTCTGAGCCACAGCTAGAAGTTCACCGGATGCTTGCTGTCCCTCTTTGACTTAAGCGCTCGACGCTCGGGTTGTGCAATCTCGAAAGTGGGGCAACAACCCATTCGCACTCAATAAAAAGACTTGATTCACGCATTGTGGAGGCGGATCGGCGCACTTTGGGGCAAGAGCGCGAGGCATATTCGCGGAAGTGGGGGGTATTCTTGCAAGCTGAGTTTGCGCGGGCATCGTAGGGCAGGGACTTGAAAGCCTTTGCTGGAAGTCCCTTCCTCATAGCCTCCTTCCTCCTGCTAGGCACATGCACTGGTTGACGCAAAACCCAAGATCTTGAGTCTGCAGCCACCCCCAAATTCGAATCGAAGCATGTGCAGAGCGTCTGTGGCTGCAAATTGCGTGAGCAAGTGTAGAAGGTCTGGCAAACAAAGCTAGCCGATCGACAATGGTACCGCCATGTACTGCTGAATTATCGCCAATAGCCGGAAGAGTAGAACACATACACCACCATCCCAGACATCCCACACGACTGTCGTGCAGAAGGCCTCTTCAAATGTCCACTGTGCTGGAAAATATGGGCAGAATAACCTCAACCCATGAAGCCTGCAACATCTGAGAATCTGAAACCTTCTGAGTCCCCGCGCTGTGCAGCTCACCATGAGATTTCCCGGGATGCGGCAACTGGGCCCACCTGGCCCCCAGCAAATTCTACGGGCTTCGGGTAAAGGGATAGGGCTAGGACAATGGTCTTTTTGGCTAGGACGCGGACCAGGGACCTTTTAGCTCATGCGCGAGCTCATGAAAACGCTTCTCTATCATCCAGAACTGTTGCTGAAATCCCTCCAGCCCTGCGTCAAACCAGTTTGCTCTGAACCGGCCGGACGGTGCCAACAGTCACTCTGGTGTTTGCGCATGTTCATGAAATGTTTCAATTCCCCAAACCCCAATCGTATATGCAGTCATGCCGAACCCTTTGCAAGGACGTTGTGCCTAGGGCATTGACCAGCGACTGCACATCCGTGTTGGTCATGCCCTCGGAGTCATTGCTCTCTGACTCTCCTGTCTCCGATGTTCATGAATCGTATACGGTAGCAGCGGCCTCTGTTTGGATTTCAATCCAGGGAGGGTAAGACGTTTGAGTGTAAAATTATGCTTCCAACAGGCTCCTTTTCGAGGGCGTAACTCATGTCCATCTATACCAAATACTGAAGCCTCTTCCTTCGTTAGAAGCAGCGGCAAACATACTTGGGGGGTCGTCAAGAAACACCACAAAGCTCTGGATCGTACACAGCCACTAAGGCTCACTAAGGCACCCACTGCCACGGCCTTAGTTCAACAAAAGCAAGCACAACATTTGTGATGGTGAGGCTGGAACCGAACCGCAAAAACTTCCCACAGCTGCAGTCTGAACCTCAATGTCTACGAAAATCGGTGCCCGCTGCAGCATCCATGCCGAGGGTTGCCCTCAACGGAACAGGTGGCCCCCAAGCCCCAGCATCTTGACAATTGAGGCCCACTCCCACAAATGGGACAGCACAAATATCGCCGCGAGTTTTTGTTTTTGGTGCTGTATTTTAGCAGCAAATCAAAGAGACACCATATTGCCTGAAAGGGACAACGGTGTCCGTGATGATCATGTAGACAGGGCCGCGCCGCAAAGGTGCGAATTCCAGAGACAGTCCGTCCTTCAGAACATGCTGCTGTGACCCTTGAACGGCAACCCTGCCACAAGATAAGCATCTTGCTTTGGTATTAAGAGAAGCCGGTGCTTCCGAGACGACATTCCCAGTCAATCCAAGTATCCTCGCTGACTCCTGTAAACTTCGTGATGACGACTTCCGGAACCTCGGCTTCGGGTGGCGGAACGCTGGTCAGGTACAGTAAACTCTGTGGCATGAACGTCGGCCCAGCAAAACGTGTGTCACGCACAGCGGTGCAAGTCTGAGCTTGGTCGCCTGTTAATGCCTGTTGCAGCAAGCCGTGCGAAGCCTATGCGACTCAACTACAGTACTTGAAAGTGCAGGTCTCACGCATCTCGACTACAAGGCTGCCGTAAGCAAGTGGCATCATAGATGTTCAGCAAGTGGACGCCTTCCTCCACATACCTGCCAGTGGCAGACAGCTGTGCAATGACTGGGCCCAGCAGGCTTGAGCCAAGCTCCAAAGGCACGCTTTCCTATGGCATCAGTGGAGCCAAAACGCACGTCTCAATGCCGACAGGGGCAGCAGAGTTTTCGTCGGGACTTTGTTGCTTGGCCGTCGTGAGAAGTTGCATGTGGTGATTCGCAGAAGCCACGCCCCCTTGCACTTGCACCATCCGGCCGTGGTGCAGAGACTGATTCTCCAAAGTAGGCACATTCTGGCAAAAGTCGATGACTTCCTCAGAAAGCGCTATTGATGCTAAGTATGAGACGAATTGAGGCGGCTAAAATGCCCGTTGTCAAGGCCGAAGCAGTCGGTAACGGTCAAGACATCCAGTGCTGCAGTAGCCATACTGATCCGGAATGAGACTGCAAATTGCGCTTGAAGGTGTGAACCAGAGTGATGCAGTTCTTCGAGCACGCACTCCCTTGCAACTGCCCTCTGCAATCCAGTCTCGACAGAGTTGGGAGTCGTCTGCTCTGCGAGTGAAGACTTCGTGTAGATGGAGAAGTAGTTGTACCCTGGAGCGACAGGCTTCGAAAACTTGGATCTCGAAGCTTCAACTTTTGCGCAGTATGTACCCAAATTCTAATCAACAAGAGTTGCAATGGTTACGTGCAGTGACGACTTGCTTTGGTCTTCTGTTGCTGACTAACGATTGGATTGCCGCGCGCTTTGAACTCAAACTCCTAGAGTCTTGACCTGTCCTGACTGTGGGGTCTGGAACGGCAAGTCGTAGGAGTTGAGGTGGCCAAGGATCTCGAACCTCAGCAAATCTCAGCAACTCTGAAGCCCGATGCAAGTACCGGAAACGGAGAGCACACGAGGTCTTCACGCATCAGTGTTGTGCGAAAGACCTACGAAAAGCAACTAGGTCAGGATGCCACCGTGTGCTAATTCATCTCTACGCTAGGTTCTCCGCTGCAGTGATGTTGTCTTTATTCTGTGCATGCGTCCGCTATGTATCGTCCCTTGCCGACAAGTTCCCTGACTCGACAGGTTTTATGCAACACGAACATGTGAAAAAAACAAAAAAAGACAAGCATAGCCAAGGTGCTCGAACCTGCGGCTTCCTGAATCCAACATGCCTGGGGTAATCGCAAAGTAGCCGACATAGAATGCCACCTCCCAAACGCGAATGTGAGCTTCAGGTCCGGTGGATGCTGAAAATCACCTACAGCCGACCCTCCATGTTGCGCTGGCTCTGAATGCGCTGGCTCGGCGAGGAAAAACAACCGCCAAATGTACCCACACAGCTTTGGAATCAATTGACAGAATGAGTAGATCTGGAGGTCGTTGCCATGCCTCTGAAGTGTCATTCGGTGGAACCCAGAAGAACTCCCCGCCCAACATGTCGATGTCCTCGCGAACTGACATCTACAGGCAGCCGAAATGTCAGGTTTGAAAAATCGACTGCAGTGCCCTCACGCTGGAGACATGGGTTCCTGGTCACTGTCCATGAAGTGGATGCTGCCCACGGTAGCGAATTCATCCTGAGCCAGAAAAGGCTTACTCAGCAGAGCTTCCCACACGACGTAGACTGTGGCACGGAAACTGTGTGGTATGAAAAGTTGGAACTGGAGCACGCGATGCAGCATCTGATTGGAGCGGAAAAATGCAAGCCAGTATTGTCGAACTTTGCCTGTCTCACAGCTACATGACTGCACGCAAACGGAAGATCGCATGCCATGCCATCAGCCGGGCAGCTACAATCGGAAGTGCCACGGCTGTTGATTGCTCCACGAGGCTGGAGCGCGTGTACACAACCACTTCCTGTCAAGGGACGTAGTCGTAGTACGATGACCCCCTCCAAACAACGATGTCAACCAGACGACAGACGACGTCTGCTACAGCGACGACGAAAACTGTCAGGGCTGCTAGGGCTGGGACGATGACTGACATGTAGTCATAGCATTCCTACTACCAAGATGTTGGGGAAGCCTCTGTTTCATCTGCGAAGAAGCGATCCTAAAGACATTCAGCTTCAAGCAAAGAGGGCTAAGATTTGATAACCCCACCTGGAACGTACCAATCGAGGTGTCAGCATTGATGAACTCTTGCCTTGCTTACGGGGCACTCATGGCTGTCGAGCAATCTGTACAACAATTGTCTGGGATGCAACATGATTGATGAATCTTGACGGCTTCGGGCACCTTTCCTATCCTTCCCGGACGAACGATGAACGGCTGATCATCTCGTCTCAAACTGCTTCCAATACTTCCAGTTAGCATCCTGACAAACTCATATCCACCTCGCGGAATTGTGTCTCGGGAACAAGAGCCCAGCTGCTCCACCCCGGCAGGAACAAGACCAGCTGGACCGTAACCTGCCACCTGCACAGAAGGCTTCAGGGTCGCGGTTTTTGACTCGCGGTTTCGAGGCCGAACAGCCCTATCTCGACCAGCTACTACAAAGAATTCTCTCTCTCTCACACACACATATGCACATGCTGCCCACTCGCTCTCTCGGTCGGTCTCAAGCATGAGTTTGCCCACCGTTTGCAAGAACATTGCCTGCGATCGCTGGCCCAGTGGGTCTGGACGTATAAAGACGGCGTAGTAGGTGACCTGTTCGCATCTATCCCTCCAGCATCGAGCTTCTATGGGCTGGGGTTGGTGTCTCAAACTTGACCGTTCGCAGCACAGCGACCTAAAGCGAGAGCCTTCTAGAGCCGGCAAACCCAGAAACCAACAGAACCCCAGGCTTCTTGAGAAAAAACTCGCACAAACTGCCTGGTCAGCATCCACCGGTGCATCCCAGAAGATGTCGCCACCCATCTCGGACCTCAGTGAATGTCGAGATAAGCCTAAACACTGCCTGAAACTGTCTCGAGGATATCGCAACTGAAGTCCGGGAATGCCCGAAAAGTGATGTATGGTCTGCAGGTCTCTGCATCTACACGTGCCAAGCCTTAAGGTGAGGCTTTTGCCGAAAACTTTCGAGAGGGTCGGTAGGACCTCCGAGTTGGAAAGGACTTGTCAGAAATGGTACCGTTAGCAGCCGGCAGCCGGTTCCCCGTACTTCCAAGCCATGCGAAAATGCAGATCCAGAAGCTTATCAAGGTCCTTGTCTTGAAACGTTATGTTGGAGACGCTGGCATCCGTGTCGTAAATTGCCTTGCAGCACAAATGTTTTCACTTTCCCGTAAACATCAACACCAGCCGGAGCTGGCAGGACGACTACTCTACTTTTGGTCTCTGAATCACTTCAGAATCTAGAGGCACCATGATAGCGAACCTCCGACAGCAACGTAAGCCCAATCCAAATCCTGAAAAAGAACTCTGAACATCTATCAACTGCACCGCTGTCAGTTGGCATCTAGAGTCACGAATAGTCACGAGGCTGGCGGGCCGTGCAGCTGAACGCACCGGGGCTTTGGGCCGCAGCCATGGCACTAGCGCCGATGGCGTCGTCTGCTCCACCAGTGTGCTGCCAGTGAACACAACGAAGTGCGTAGCCGTGTCATAGTAGAGTTCAGGTGGCAGAGCTGCCTTGCCCAGTGGCGGGGTATGGGAAGTGAGATGGAAAGCTGGCAGGACTACCACACAGATCGGATCGCACAGCCTCACTGCTACTGGCCAGGAAACTCGGCGTTCCAGTCCAACCGCCCGTGAATGCAAATAAGATCAAATAAGTTGGTGACATCTGGAGATGTTGGCGTATCTTGCACTTTCGGATATACTGCTATATAGTCAAATCAGCCCATCCAACATCTAATTACAGGTTGCAATAGTCGCCTCCTGAAGATCCCAAGGCATGGTCGACCCAATCTGCGAACGGTTGAAGCCGAACCTCGGCTTGTTGACTTCAGGCCGACATCCTCGCTGTGCTGTTTGAAGGCCGCGGAATTCTGACGTTTATGTACTCCGAGAAACGCGTCGTCTGCAAGATGCAGAGTGAAGAACGACACCAAGGGGTTGAAGTCTGGCTCAGGAGTGGTCCAGGAAAGTGTGCCTTGCGCAGCTCTTGCTTTCCCTTCTGACAGTCTGAAGCTGCAAGACCGATCAAGAGCTTGCCGATGTTGCTGAGTGCTGATTGACGGACTTGGCCAGCTGAGAAACTACGAAAATAGTGTCCCCCTGAAAGCATAAGAGGGGGGTGACACAGAACATAAGCTAATCATCAAAACTCCTGGTCTCGAGGCATGGGTTGGCTATGTTATGTTGCATTCTGAAACAAAAGCTGGATGAGAGGCTGTGTATAGCTCTTCCCTTCAGCAGTCCTGGCTCAACTTCTCCGATATCAAATCCGTTTTGGTTCCGGGATTGGAACAGCATGGATATGGAGCTAGACAGATCTGGCCTTCCATCATGCAAACCGTTTGTCTCCATGAAGCTTCAATCCCACACTCCCACACCTCCAATCTGCGAGTCGTCTAGATCCTTGTCAGTGAAGTTCACCTGGCACCCAAGCTGAGAAGGGGCCCCGAAGGTCTCACAGATAGGCTGTAAGCGGAGTGGCACATCCAGCAAGTGTTCATGGTGGAGACAGATGCTGGCCCCGTCGGTGTTTGCGAATGGCAGTTCGCGCAGATAAGCGGAGAATGCCAAACGGCACGCGAAAAGCCGAAAAGCGAAAAGTTGCGTTGGATACATATTTTACGCGAAAACCAGAAAACCTGAAAAGGCGAAAGTAGAAAAGTCAAGAAAGAGCGAAAAGTCGAAAAGTGCAGCAACAAACGAAAAGTCAAGAATCAGCCAGAACCCGAAATCGCAGCAAACCGCGGAAAGTCGCAAGGTAAAAACAGTTGAAATGTACAGCGAAAGTCGACCAGTCAAAGAGAAGAAATATCGAAAACTGTCGAACATGTGCAAAACCCATCACCACCGCAGAAGGCGAAAACTCAACAAGTCTGGTCAAACATCACTGAGACAGTGCCTCTGGGGGGTTGGCCCGGCCATAAACATCTATGGGTTTGATTCTTGTTGGCTGCTTGGATGAAACCCGACATGGTTTCAAACTCAACAAGATTTGCCCGTTGGTGGTTCCCAGACTCCAAAAATAGGCCCAAATGCCTGTTTTGTGCACTTCTCGGCACTGTTGTAACCATGAGAAGCTCAAAATCATTGACAATTGAAAGTTGCCGCTAAAGGTTCCTCAAACCAAAAAAACAAAACTGCCTATGGCTTTGTTCCTTTATGTTCCTTTCAAGGGTTTCGAGAATTCTCAACACTCCCAAACATTGGAATTTGGTGCGCACAGGGTTCTTGATTGGCTCCTCAGACCCTCTCAGATCCGAAGAACAGTTCGAAAATGCTGTCTTGCTCACTCTTTGGTGCTGGCGGACAGACGAAATGCCCAAAACTAGCTGAATTTTGCTTTTCTGGGTCTCCATTCGTGTTTGGCGCTTTGAGGATCCTAAATCACTGAACTTTGAGTCGGCATTTCCCAAGCCTGTTGAAAATCAGCCGAAGTATCCCAAAAGCGTGCAATAGAAAAATGCGCGTGTTTCTGCTACGTTTGGGTGTTTTAAAAAACAAGATAGAAAGCACATCCTGTTTTGGACATGCAGCTGGGCGGTTTCTAAGACCCGAACAGCAAACCACAATTCCAGATGTTCTAATTAGCAACTTTCGTGTTTGTTGGAAAAGCCCATGTTGTCCAGTTCGCCTAAACCGAAACCTCAGCCAAAATACCTATGTTTTGGCTCTTATAGGCGGCTTGGGAGGAACCCGAAATGGTTTGAGATTTAGCGAAGTTTGCCATTAAGCTCGATTCTGCTGAAAACTATTGCCACGATTGGATATAGTCCACTACGACTACTGCCGACTGCTACTCGTTTTACCGGAACAAGGCGTGGACGAGAAAGAAGGACCCTAGAGCACAAGCGCCTGCATGGCCTCAGCTGGCATTGGGCTGCCCACACTGCACACCTACCGTCGACTCCTGCACTCGCAGCTCTTACTGCCTCAGGCATACCCCTGCCCTGGCCCTGTAGGCCTACCTGCATTTACGCCTTTTTTCACTAGCTAGCCCTGTCCAGCCCATCCTCTTGGCTGCCTATCCCCGGTCTTGCAAGGATTTTGCGGCCACACATAAGCCTGGAACAACAGCCCAGGTGTATCCAGCCCTACGAGCGAAGCCTACCCCTAGCCCGGAGCTTTTGTATGAGCACCTCAAAACAACGAAAAGCGCAGCGAAACGCGAAAAGGAGAAAATTGAACCGTCAACAAGCAAAACACGAAAAGCACAGAAACGTGTGAACATCGCAGTAAAGTCGAAAAGTCGAAAACAACGAAAAGCACAAACATGTGCGAACCGTGCAGAACAACGTGAACAGTCGAAAAGTCAGAACGCCGAAAAGGATCGAAAAGTGCGGAAGGCGGAAGAGAACACGAAACGCCGAAAAGTCCAGAACTTTTCGACTTCTTGGCTTTTCGAGATTTTATTGGTTCTCCACCTTTCGAAACCAACGCCTGCTTTCATACTTAGCCAAGCTCTTCTGGCCAAGTTTCGGCGACAACGGAGTTGAAATCGAAGAGACTAGATGCAAATAAAACCCGCATTGTTTGTGCTAGCCGATAGACTTCGCCGACAGTACCACGAGTACCTCGCAGTCCAACTCAAGCGATTTCGCACCTGCCTGAACGACGGAGTAAGCGTCCGAGATGGGGAAGTGCGACGGAGTAGTCGACTCCACCAAGTAGGATCCTCAGGGGCAGAAGGCAGATGGTGTGGCACCTGGGACCCAGAGCACCTTCGTTACTGCTGCTGCTGCTGCCGCACGGCTGCGGCCACAGCTACTGCGGCTACGGCCAATAATGCTGGTACTGCTTCTGCTAATACCGCCACTGACACTTGCACTATCACCACCACCATCTATATCGGTACCAAGGCAAAACATGCCAAATCTACCGCTGCCCGTTGCTTTGTCATCATTATCACCATGCTGAACGACAAGGACCCACGTTGCCTCGATCATTGCAACTAGCACTTGTCTGTATCACGTGCCAGGACCGACAAGGTTGATCGAGGTCCACGCAAAACTCATGCCAACACCAAGCAAACAGCTTGCCGTAGCCGTGGCCATAGCTTTCGCATATCCATGGCCGCAGAGTGGGAGTAGTAGTAGTCGGAATAGGCGAGTAGCAGCAAGCAGCATCAGCAGTAGTAGAAGCAGCAGTAGCAGTCGCAGTAGGAGTAGTGGTGTTAGCAGTGTAGTACGTTAGTAGTGTTAGCAGTGTTAGAAGTGTTAGTATTCGTAGTAGTAGTAGTAGTAGTAGTAGTAGTAGTAGTAGGAGTAGGAGTAGTAGTAGTAGCAGCAGCAGCAGCAGCAGAAACTAGACGCAGCCGGACTTGTCGCAGCAGTAGCGGTGGCAAGCATTGACAGTGGGGCAGTGCAGAATGGTATGCCAGAAATCGTCGCGCTGCTAGCTCGTTAGTGGTCGAAACAGGTGCAGTAGTAGCAGTAGAAGCCTCGGCGTGGTAGTCGTAAGCGGCGGCGGAAAATCGGCAATTCGCTGGTATATGTGACTTTGCAGCCATCACAAACCCTTGATTTGCGCCCAGGGATCGAGTGTAAACGACGACGTAGTCTTGGTCGAGCCGTGGAGTTTCTGCATCCAGCAGTGTCGACAGCGAATCGTATGGTACCTGACTCTGTCGACGAATGATTGCTTCAGATTTCGCTGAAAACACAGTCTTTCAGTGTTCTAACACTTGAGACTTGAGACAAAGAGGCGAAGTCCAGCACCATGAACAAGCAAAGAAACCCAAGACAAAGCGAAAGATGACAACTGTTGTGTAGGCGGGGAGGATGGACCTACGCAGACTGGACACAGCGAGACTCCGAAACGCACCATTGAGGTGAACTTCACGCAGCAGGTGCCTTGCCGACCATGGATCGCCCGGCTCCGGAAGCATTCGCAGCCAGGTATACCAGGTAGTGGGTGACCTATGCTTTCTTGCAGGCACCCGTTCCCGGCGACCTGTTGTCAGCGAACTTAGAGACGTGTCAGTAATATTCGTAACGGTTGCAGATGGTTGCAGAAACTCGAATATCTCCAACAAGAACCTGATCAAAACTGGGTTCCCCGAATCAGTTCACAATGTGACTGCATATGAGTATTCATGGCCTGCGAGGCTTCCAGCGGTGGCTCCCAGGAAATGTTTCCCCCAAGATCCTTAGGAAGGCCAAGGCCGCAGTAGCAAACTTTTCCATGGACCGATGGTTCAACAAGAGATCTTTCTGCTAGTCTGCCCCGATGGCCTGGTGAAGCCCCTTGCTCCGAACTTCAAGCCTGACTCTTTCTTATGGTAGCCGATAACGGGTGTCCAGTGAAATGCAACACTTCTGGGCGCTACTTCCAGGGACGTCGTTGCATACGAGCACCTCGTGGCAATTCTCAAATCACTACCGTGCTGAAGAGCTGCAGGTAGACGACAATTGCCGACCCGGTTGCTTCGATCCGGACACATTGCAAAGCTGCCAAGACTGCAGAACAAACATCTCTTCCGGTCTCTCGCTCTCACGATTCTAGCTTCGAATCTAGGCACTTAAAGTTCAACGTTAGTCATGAGTGACTGCCGTCACTATGTCGCGAGCCGAGGCTGTCCTCTTTACGCGTATTTTGCCAGGAAGCACTCAAATCTAAATCCAGGTCCAGGAAGGAAACATTCAGCACCTGGACGGCTTAGAATCAGTCAGATTCTTCGAATGGGCTTCGAGGGTTGCAGCTTAAGTACTCTGACAAACAGAGTCGAAACGACTGCAGCATTCGCACGCAGAAGTGCCGAAGCTGTCGTTGCCGGCATAGGCTGCTAGGACTCTTCAGAACGAGCTTGAAAGCCGGGATTCCTGCATGTAGTGAATGCTGCGCGACTTCACGAACTGAAACTATCCAGTTCATCCCGGCTACAGGTGAGATGGTGTCGTTGATTGGCGCCGCGAAGGGTGTGGTCCGCTCGGCAATCAGGGAGCTTGGAAAAACTGAAACCCAGCCTCAGCAGCAAGAACTACAAGATATAGGGAAGGCGTTCAAGCCAAATATGCATGCTAATCTCGTAGGGCAGGAGGATCTAGAAGTTCGTCAGTGCCCCTCGATGCTTCGTGAACCCCCCCGGAAAGCAAGATTGACTTGGCAACCATGCATCCAGAAACAACTCCGAAGTTCCTAGAGTCCAGCGGACATGGCAAGGGCTAACTAATACCATGTTTGGAAAGCATGCGAGGGCAAGACAGTAAGGCACGGATGTGCCGCCTCCCGGCATTCAACATGAAGAAGCTGTCTTAAATGCAAGCATCCATTGAAAGTCCGCTCAGTTGGGAGGAAACGTGGGGGGAGTGCCTTGAGGTTGGCCCAGGCATGCAAGAAGCAAGCTTGGACTTCGGGCTACCCTGCGTGAATCTTCGACGGCAAGGTCTAGGGGACGGCAGTCGAAGCCCTTCAAACTGTCTGCCTGGCTGCTGTAAGTCTCCAAAGGCGGCTCGGTGTCTGGCGGGACAAACAGCTCAGCAAATTCCGCCGGTGCGACATCCTGGCCGTGCAATTGCAAAACATCGGAACGCAGCCGTAGGGAGATTCGGAGGCAGTCTAAATGTCAGTGTTCCGAAGGAAACAATCTGCAAGGACAATCTTGGTACGACGTAGTACAACGTTCATGTGATGTCTCACGCCTTTGACGTCAAGCTTTTGCTTTCTTTCCAGCATGTAGTCAGTTCTAGTGACGTCCCAGCTTCCGCTGTGGCTTCTCAACCCGATAGATCGTGTGAGATCATCCTTCCAAGAACCGGAGCCTGCCCGGCCCTGCTGCGCCCCGTCTCCCAGGTATCGTTCTCGGTGAAATACCTTTCTTTCAGGAACGGCTTTGGACTGTTGGGAAAGTGGACTCATTGTCACCGCCTTGCTTGCAATGACACCGGACGAACAAACAAGCCCTGCGAGGTCATTCAGGGCCGAAGCGCACAGTGAAGTGGGAGATAAGCCCAAGGTCGCGTGTGACCGCCCAGGTGACATTGCCACCCAGCTCCTGGTATCAGAAGGGGTCTAGTTGCTCCAGGTTCATGGAGGTGCCATGTTATGAGAGCTTCGCGTAGTCAGCCGGGTGGCTAAGTTATTCAAGACTCCAAACTCGAGTAGGTCGTGAAACGGCACGAAGAGAAAAGCTCGTGCCCTCGGACAAATCCCCGTGATGGGCTCCTCTTCATCCAAGTCCTGGTCCAGGAACTCCACATCGGCAAGCTGCCTTATTGTTGGCTCTTGCAGGCATTACAAGGCTGATGGCTGATGGTCCTTTTGCTGTGGATACGATACAAGGTTCTAGCGCTAAGCTTCCTGGCCCGTCGCGAGCTGCAAAGCAAAATCTGCACAGCTCGAAACCTGACAAGCGCCCAGCTGCTGCGTTGCACCCCTAGACCTCATCCAAGCCACACGTTCGTGTCTGAGATCAGCAGTGACGCCGGGGTCGTCTGCTCAATCACAGGCGACTTGGTATAAATGTTGACATACTCGAACCAACCTGAGTGAAAATTTGGGCTATGCAACTCTGAGCCCCCCAGCAAACCAAAATGATTTAGCAATTTGCTGCCGGAACATACCGGCGAACATGTTTAGCAGGGCCCCCCCCAACCCCCACCATTGGCCGCAGGCAGAGAACATCATAGTCAAACCCAAATTTTGTGGAACACTCTGCCCAGCGTCGGATGGGCGTCTCAGCCGGCAGCTGAGCTATGTTTGTACCGATTGGGAGGTCCTGGTGCAGATGTTATTCTGTAAGCTTCGTAGTCTCTCGTCTTGTGTGGGATGCTCGGTCAGCGAAATGAATTCTGGAGCTAGCGGTGGCCGCGTTTGCATTCGCGCTGCTTCGGTTCTTTACTCGATGTGAAATCACATCTCTTGTGCAAGATTTGGTTGAGTATTTGGTGCCCAGCAAAGCCAACAGCGCCAAGAAACATCAAGCAGAAAGACGAAGCTACATGATAGGCAATAATCAAGAACCACGATAAGATACAACGGAAAAGAAACTAGCAGCGGACCAAAATCACCTCCAGTCAAACAGCCAAACGCCCCAAGCCGCAATTACGTAACCAGCAAGGCAGGATCAATAGTCTCGGACATCGAAATGTCTGCCAAACCAAATCCGCACTGCTGCAGCAAAACATCTGGCTTGGAAAATTCTTCTCCTACAGCTCCAAATGCTTCTTTTACTCGAATGCTTCAACGGCTTTATTAATCTGTCTCGAGCCTCCGCGACCCTTGACCGGTTTTCAGCATCGAAGGTGGCTGACAGATAAACCTTGGCTGCAGCAAAGTGCGTAGCTTGGTTTCGTCTTCACATGAGGTGATAACACATGGTGCAAGGAGTCTAAGAGAAGCTGTCATCAGTCGAAATATTCAGAATACAATCGTGGCCACCATGCAAGACTCCGAGCTGTCTGTCGGCTGACACAAGGGAAACTTAGCAAGCCCATCGTCACTAATATCTCAACATGCAACTCGTAGCCGGCATGTCTGCAGCCGCTCTTGGAGTTGTGCTGGATCTACATAACCTCTACATAATTGCAGTGAGATCTTATACCTCGCCCCACAGTCTGATGTCATGCCACCGAGTAGAGCGTGACTTGCGAGAAGTCGATGGGCTTGACCCAAGTAATGTCGCCTCCCAGCTCCTCTGCAGGCTTGTCAGGCCCTCGCTTTTCCCTCCTGCACCTGGCCGCACATTGAGGCTACTAGTGACTGCCCGGTGTGCGCCAGCTAGAGGATCGTGGAGCGAGCGAGGGAGGGAGAGGGAGCTAGCACCGGCCCAAAACACGTCCGAAAATCCCAGCACGCCCCGTGCACAAGACTGGGCTCCTCTTCGTCAAGATCTCGGTCAACGAACCTTCACTCAAAGCGGCGAGTCGTGATCTTGTGGATTGCTCTACTAGAATTAGAAGGATCGAGCTACGCTTTGAACTACGGGATCTCGTTTGTAGCGTTTTCTTGCAAGGCGGCTGAGTCCCAGGTTCTGGGTTTCGGTTCCGGGTTTCCGGCTCCGGGATTTTCCGGGTTCGGGTTCGGGCGTTCCGGGATGGGCGCGGGGGTTCTGCGTGACGGGAGACAACAAAAGCGATATTGAGTGAAACTAACGTTCCAATAAAGTTTTACAAGGGACATCAAAGGACCTACTTCAGGTTTTGGACCCTTCCAGTTGTCATGGGGATCTCAGGCCGAGGAGCACAATCCCGGAAACGGAAGAGGCGGTGTCATTGAGTTCGAGGAAGGACGGAGTGGTCTGCTCGACCAGCGTGGACTTCGTGTAGACAACGATGTGAGAGTGGGGTCCTCTCGGCATCACGAACGCCTGAATGCCTCCATTGTGGATGTTTGGCTGTTTGGGGTTGAAGACGTCGGCGCTCAGCTCATGGTACCATGGAAGCTCGCCGGGGTCCTTGTGGCTGCTCGGGCAGGAGGTCCACATAGTTCGTGCCCTTGGGGACATCCTGACCTCAAGAGTCCAAGATTCCCACAGTTTTCAGATCGAAACAATGGGTTCTGCAAGCTTTCAACCCCCTCCCGCGCAGCTCCTACTGGCCTTCGATAAGGCACTTTCAGGTTGGGAGCAGGATAATGAACAAGTCGTCGGGCACGGTAGTGCAGAACGGCACAGCTTCAGTTAGCTTCGACATATACGTCCCGGACAGCCAAACTTGGCCGCAACATCCTTAAGAATCAATCTTCGGCCAGGCCAAGAGGCCTATCTGGGAACGGAGGTCGCCAGAGGTGTTCGCAGCCAAGTAGACCTGGTGAGATTCCAGTAATCAGAAAGATAAGCCAACGTCTCTTGAGGCTGATTGCACTGCATGTCTGCAGGTGGCAAGACTTTGAAGCGACTGCAGACCACCTGAGACTGCCGAACACGAAACTGGGCTCGAACGTGCGGAGCCGTTCTGGGGTTTGATTTTGAGGCACAACCCGCTGCAAGGTTCTCGACATGTGCCGGCCTGCCACCATCCACCTCTGTACTTGGCAACTCCATGCAATTGGCGTTGATCCAAGTAACCCGAAACTTATTGGGGCTCGACATAGAGCAGGGCGTTCTGGCCAAAGCACAGAGTAGTGGGCCACGAGCACGACTTCATCTGGTGGCAACCAGCTCACCTTCTCGAAAGCTTGGATGCTGTTGCTCCATGATACTATGAACTTCCACGGGTTGAGGCCATCTGCGAGTAAAAAGGCAAAACGATTCACACTGCTTCAAACCCAAAGCTGTCCGACCAGTACCAGGCCTGTCCCCCGAAGTCACCTCCGTCCTCAGCGCACAGAGGGTTGACAGGGAAGGGAGGATCGAGAGACCTGTCAATACCTTTTGCATGCCGACGATTTCTTGAGGATAACGGGGTTTGAGGGGCATCATGGGTTCCGGCATAGGCTCGTGTCCCGCCAGCATTGGAACCGAAACTTGCAGGCCGAGCCACTAGGTCCATATCGAAGAAAGACCTCACACCATTGGTCGGAAGCTTGATATGGACTTCGACTGCGTGTGGCTGAGGCCACCACACCTCTGGCACGTTCCAATCGGCATCACCTCGTCAAACTATCTGAGGCTATCCTGCATCGCATTACAACACTACGTGGCCAACAAGAAACTCAAAGAAGCGAACTCAAGTGCTGGTATGCTACTGATGTTGATGAAGGCAGGCGTGGTTTGCTCAACCAAGGAAGATCGAGTAAAGATCACCTGAGTCAGCTTTGGGAAGTGGACCAATCAGTGAAGGACAAGAACGGCTTTATGACGTGCATCCAACAACGGGAAATGAGCTCTGCTCGAAAACTGCTCCTTGAATCGGTCGGAGTTTATCCCTGACCCGGCAGGTACTGCTGACGGGGACAATATCACACTGGTCGCTATGTTTAGTCTTAGCTACTGTAGCCATGAAGGTGTTGGCATGAATAGCACGGCTCCAGCTCCTTTCTTACTCAGTACTCTAAGTTGCACCTCGCTCGTGACCACAGCATAGCTTTGGACAAAACCAGCCAAGGCTAGACAAACACTGCTCCCCATACCATACTCCCATGACCAAGGTGCGATGTGTGTGCTCCTTCCCAGTGGGAGTTCAGGAGGCACAAACAGATCGTGAGTGCCGACAGGCAAGGACTCCTCAGCGGGATGCTGGTTCAGGCGACAGCTGCACACCAAAATCCTCCGCTGCTGCTGCTGATCGGTAGGGGCGACCTACCCGTGCTATGGACCGACTGGATGGTGACTGCAGGAAGATCTGACTTACTCCCCTCTGCGACTCACTCAGTCTGCTTGGAGGATGCGCAGAAAGAGCGAATCTGAAAGGCAGACTGAAGAGCTGCGTCAGCGACCATCGTAATGTATCCGGGTTGCATTGATGCGAGACAGAGACTCCCCAGAGGCGCTTTCGCTCAAGTACCTTGCGCTCACCATCACCGGAAGTCAGATGTGTCGGGTGTGGTGTGATTGACCGCGGCAGCTAGGGTGGAACTGCTGCAACTGTGTTCTCTCATGTTCTCTTTCGCCTCCGCGGAGCTATGCAGGTCGAGATTTACACTCACAAGTGCGTACGAGTGTACCCTTTTGAAGCGCAGCCCCCATGTGCAGCTCTGGTCGCAGGTCGTAGGCGACCACCAAGTCCATGTCTCCAGCAGGCGACCAAAAGATGGTACCACCGAGCTCCGCACCATCCAGATCCTCGGCAGGGTCGGGTACAGCATCCGAGATAAGAAAGACAGAACCTGCAGCTCTGGCCGAGCTCCCTCGCACGGTGCCAGAGAAACTTGGCTCGATTTTTGCTGATGCAGTCAACTGAGCTCTCACCCCAGGCAGTCACCGTGAAGGTCCACCCTGTTGTGGTATTACCGACCGAAATGCCTCCTGACGCAGACCTTGCGGACGTGGCCAGGGATCAAGGTCTGTGAAGTTCGTGTCCGTCACAACAGACTCGGTGTCTTGCAACTGGAATGCCTTGGCTTGGGCGGCAAACATCGGGAAAGTGGAAGAAGCGACAAGATGCGTGAACAACTAGTGAATGCACGCGCGAGGACAACCAGGCGGTTTGGGGCTGCACTGATGATCACTGATGCCCAACTCTGCCAACTGAACTCGCCAAATTTACAAGAAACCCGACCTACACATCTCCAGCTCAACATCACTATGGCCCAAAACCAAGGGAAGCCTGAATTCTGTCCAGCTGATGCGCGACTGGGGTGGTCTGCTCAGCAAGGTCAGACTTGCTGTACACGGTGATTTGCCTTGTCTGCAAAGATGAAAGCATGCCTTCTTCTGCGTGCTACTGCCTGCTGAACCTATGAAAAGACGCAAGATACCGCGTCTGTAGCTTAAGGCAAGGCTTGCGATCGAACGACCTGCAAGATGCAAGGACGCCGATCCCCTTGATTCAAAGCTGACAGGCGAAGTCGGAGAGTCCCTCTGAGACAGACGCCTGTACGAGCCAGTTGTGTGATCTGGTTGTAAGAGGGCAGCGCGAGACCTGGGGGCCGAGCTGCGCCGAGCCTACTCCGAGTGTTAAAACCGCCCTGGCTCTGGGCTCCAAGCGAGTTTACAAAGACGTCTGTGCCGATTTGCGACCGTGACCTGCCGGTTTCATCGAACCTGGGCTTCCAAGGAAGAGGATTCGGTTCGTGCCATCGTGCAATGTCGCGTATTCAAGCAACAGACATACACAATGACAACTGCACATTGTAAACTAGGTTGGCCCCTCAAAAAGCCGCAGAAAATTATTCGCAAATAAGAACTTCTTAAGCCCCAAAAGGCTTAAGATTGCAAAATATAAAATGTCCCAAATGCCTACCTAGTAAAGCAAAAGGGTTCAAACCTTGCAGGCTCTGAAACTCTGAAACGCTGTGAATGGCGCGCTTAACTCCAGAAACTGAGTCCTTGCAGAGAAAGAGTGAAAGATGATGTTGGCGAGCAGCGCCAGGTACACACGATAAGCGGCCACCTGTAGACATTTTCCGGCCAGGAACATCGCCGCAAACAGTTGTGACGACAAAGCTCTGACTCTGACTCTGAAGGATTGCAGGGCAGTGCGTTCGTGCCTGGGAGGACTCCAGTGGCGTCTCCCAGTAGACGTGCCCCCCGAGGTCCCCGAGATCGAGGTCAAGATCTGTGAACGTCACCTGGGATCTTCGCTCTAACGGGCTCCGAGGCTGCAAGGACTTTCGAGCAGTCGCTTCACTCAGACGCAGCCATGTTGCATTCTGCACGTCGGATGAGGTGTCGCTGATTGCCACCCCGACCGGAGTTGTCTGCTCCACAAGGACGGAGCGAGTGTAGACAACGATGTCGGTGAAGAGCCCCTGGCTACTGCGAGGAGCTTCAACACAACATGCAGCTTTCAAAGAGGTGCTTCAACAATGTTAGAAGCTGCACCGTCGACTCCTCTAGCACTTCTACGACCCTACCGTCCTTCGTCAAATCCACGGGCACTCTCGTCTGTGCCAGGCCCTGTGGTATTGGAAGCCCCAGCTGCGAGCGGAACGCACCAGCACTGCTGTTGGCAAGATACCTGAGGAAAGGCGAAAATGCTTAAAGGAGGGAGTACCGGCTTCGACGTGATATCTCCTGAGTGAGGCACACATCGTAGAAGTGGACAAATTCAATGTCGCTGACGGGCTCTGCCCACGCGACATCGCCACCCAGGTCATCAATATCCAGATCCTCCACAGGCTCACGACCCCGAACATGAAAACCCGAGCATGTCGGTGGAAGGGGAGATCGGGATGTCCTAAGTCCTAGTGATGGTCCAGTCCTATTGTAGGCGTACAGTCGGACGCCCCACTGTGAATAGTTTGGCTGCGACGCGTGTTTGTGTCTCTGGGAATCTTGCTTCCGCGCACATTTTAGGTTGGGACTCCTTTCCTGCCACAGTGCAGTGCATGTTTTAGGGTACTCATTATCACAGTGCAGTCGGCATGCTGGACTCATGGGATGGTCTTGGGGTCTCAAGGGTCGATAGTTGTTGGGTGTTTACTGTGTATGCTGGCACAGGGCACAGATTTCCACAAACTTTGAGTTCGTGGTGAGTTTCACGGTTCCAGTCCAAGCAACACATCTGCACTCAACCTTGCAAATCCTAAATTCTCAACCTTGCCAATTCAATCCACTTCATTGCATGTCCCATCGGAGACGAGCCTGGTCTACGAATTCAACTGACGACACGCTCGCCACAGTGTCGCTGATGTTTACAGCCACTGGGGTGGTCTGCTCCTCAGAGTGGACAAGCATAGCCCGGCTTGCACAGGATAGGCGAGCCGGCAAGCGGGCGGAGACAGTTGCAATTGAATCTTGAGGCTCGGTGTCGAGATTCTGAGCGATAGCGAATAATCTGCAATACGTGGCAACACATTACTTGACTCGAATGCAATTTTGATGCGCTGCCAGACACATGTTGTGAGCACCCATTGAGAAACTCTCGAACGAATTCTGACAGCTTTCGTTCTGCCATGCACATGCACGATTTGACAATGGTTCGTGGCATCCAGCTTTCAACCGTTACCCAGTCGCACGGCCGTCAGGCTGCGAGGCCCTGACAAGCTATGCTAGTATATGCTAGTATCCTCACAGATCCCGCTCATGATCTGCCAGCCTGAAACTCTCCGCCACACTGCATGCGCTCGGCACCGCACGGCCATCGATTCTAGAAGCTTTGGTGTTTCGATGCATACGGCGCGCACATTCGACCCAAATGATCCTCACAATAAAACCCACCCATACACAGACTAAGTCAAATCGATTCAAGGCAATTCCTTCGGGCCTGGGGGATCCTTGGGGGGGGCTGCACGAAGATCGTGAAGCTACCCATCGATAACCAAAACCACTGTCGGTGTGAAATCTTCAGCAGACCTCTTCATTTTCGCCAGGCATCCACCAGTATGGACTTGGTGTAGAGGAGCAGATGGGTGTAATTCTCAACCTAAGGAAAGCCCTCTATGATTTGAAACTCCAACTGGCGAACCCGACAAACCTGAACGAGTTCAGAGTCCCGCGTGTGCATTCTAAACTTGACACAAGTGTTGATGTCAACACGTCGCGATCGCAGATACGCTGAAGACCGAACATGGATAGGCTGTTTAGACCCCTTCGGTCTCGCAAGCGAAGAGACTGCAAGGGTATTCTGATGAGCTCGGCTGGCTCCAGGGCAACATCTCTCCAAGAAACAGCCGTGTCTTCGCTGATGGCGGTTACCGTCGATCCTGCCTGCCAGCGTCTCTCAAAACTGGCATGAGTGCGTCTTCCCAGTACCTAAATCTGCCCCGGCATGCTCCTGGCAGAGATGCCTTCATATGCGTTCCCATTCGCAGGTGTGAGGCACCTTCTCTGCTCTAATTCTGCTCTGGTGTCGGGAAGAAAGCCCGGTCGATGAAACCGGAGAGAGAGAGAGAGAGAGAGAGCCGGAGCTTCCAGATGCCCAAAGACCGGAAGGACATAACATCGCAGAGGAACGGAAGGTGGCAGCCAAGGCAGAGTAGCAACGCTGAAAACCCTCGCGAGATCTCGCGACATCAACAAATGAGAAACAGCAGACCGTCCCAACAGTGAAGGGATCTGCGGCATATTTCAAGCTATTTACATCAGCTCGTGCATGATCTTTCAAGCTCTCCACAGCAACGACGGCCTCCAACTCTGCTACGTGTGCTCTGTCTGCCCCAACCGGTGTTGTGGCCAGGTAGGCGACATAATGTGCAACCAGGCTCGCATCCTCGGATGTGCGAAGCATGATGCATTGACCGTCCGGAAACTCCGTAGATGTTGCACAAAACAACACAACACGAGACCTTCCTTCGGCTGCAACTGTCTACAATAGCGAAGTCTTGCATGCATCGAAGAACATGCCCGCCATGCAAAGCCCACATGCACGTGCACTTGTAGCTGATGGCAATCCAAAGCCTTCGCTGTCCAGCGACAACCGGTTGCTGCCAGCTCAAATTGCCACCCAACTCCTCCCAGTCCAAGTCCTGCGTTCCAATCTCGAAACGCTCCACGACACATGCTTCTAAGAAGTCTTCGTCCATCGACACTGTGCTGCTTGAAAGCTTGGATTTGGGATTTGCCTTGATCCTGCTGCCAGTTGCCATGTCGTCATGAAGCAATGAGCTGTGATCCCGCGAAGCCAAATGCAGGCAAATGATTCGAGAACTTGCTGGAACATGTCCTGATCGGTGAAAGAAAGACTCGCAACATAGCGGCCTGTGTCACTGATCCTTGGCATTGGTGCTGCATTGCATAGGCTCGACTGAACCCGTCCACATCTTGGTCGGAACTACTGAACTGCCCGACACATGCAGAGTCGGCCCGATGCCCATCTTGCTGGCCCTTTCACGGAGAACTTGATCCGAAGAGCGGGAAGGGCACAGGCGTGGACTGCTCCGCGAGGCTGGAGCGGGTGAAGACCAGAATGTGACGAAAGGACCTCTCCGGGACAAGACTACGGGAGTGCGGAAAGGCAACTCATGCCATTTCATTAGACGATTGAGATTCCCGGGTTCGGGTGTTGGAGAGTTCCCTTCTGCAGGAAATTCTGACGTACACGTGCCAACCAACACTCAAGTTCAGCTGCTCAAGACGCGAGCAAGCTCAAGCATCCCACACGCTGACATTGCATTCTTCAGCATGTGGCGCTGACGAGAGCCCTCGTGCTAACTTTGCTTGTGCGTTCACCTCAATCCTGGGGTATATCCGACTCTGACAAACTAATCCACAAGCAGAACGGAAATCTGTTTATTCTCAATGCGCCACGGTGAAAACTGCAAGCAGCGGCACGGTGGTCGATCTTGCTAAAGCGAGCTTTGTCGCTGCTACTCGCGGCAAGCTTGTCATAAGGTGTACTCATGCTCCTCGCATGTGACCTAATCTTGGGTCACGAAGTTTAGCAGCAGCGCTCCAGAGCAGACCCTTCGAGCAATACTCGAAATCTCCAAAATCCCCAACGCCCCCGTCCTGAATGGAAGCCCTCCAGCATGGAGCCTCAAAGCTGTCTCAGCAGCCAGCTCAATGGTGTCTGCAGAGGCCTGTATCAGCAGGGCGATTGCAGAAAGACTGAAGATGCTGGAGTTGTGGGTGCATTAAAGGGGCGACGGCGATAGAGTCCAGAAGTCCAGACTTCCGGCTGTCGAATTCATGAGGCATCCAACTGCTGCAGCATGACTCCATTTGTCCGTCGTTCAAGAAGGTTTATATACGTCTTCTGCCACGCTGTACGTCAAGTCTTCGATACACCTCGCGCAGTCGCAGGGCTGGAGGCCAATAACCCGCCTGCCCAACTTGGATCTGAGAGCGGCCAGCGCCTTCGGTGTCCTGCAGAAGAAATACGTGCGCATTGCCTGGCTCGTTGCTGTCTATCTCTGTGTGTGCATGCTCACGATCCGGAGAAAAATGATTGATATGTGCTGATGCTGCACAACCGGCGCATGCTTGTTTCGTCCCTGCCCTGACGACGACCAACACATGCAACAGAGCTTTGCACCATCGTGACTCTTATTGTTTGAACTTACAACTTGGGGGAGGACTGTGGTGTGTGCTCGTAGCACGCATATGATTCGGAAAACCACAGCCTCGGCAGCGACCCTACGATGCTACACGCCCATGAAACGCGAGGTGCTTCGACAACGAAGGCGATCCCATGCTTTGACAGCACTGGAGAGTCCCCGTCCTCTGACAAGTAAACGTCCACGAAATCAACGAGGTCCGGTCGCTGCTCCGGTGGAGGGTCCAGCCACGTCACCTGGAAGAAGCAAGGCTGAGTCGGGGAGGCGCTGTCTTGAAAACCCGCAGGGGCCGAGGGGAAGTGATGGCACGTCAATGTCTCCAGGGTGGGTCCGGCTAGGTAATTACTTGCCCTGCTACTTCAGGTTCAGTGTTCACGTGCCTTCAGTGAAGTTTAGGCTACTATCTCTTTGGTTGTCAAGGTACAACGGTACAATGATGTTCCCGAATTCGTTGAACAGGATCCATGCTCCTGTGTCTCATGACCCACATAGCCACAGGCTACGCCAATGCGCCGGCATTGGGTTACAGGAATCTCTTTGCATGGCCACCCTTGTCACTCCAAAGATGGTTGTCAGACCGATGCAGAGCAAAGTCTGTTCAGTTTGCGACGATGAGGGCACTGGGCCCATGGGCCTGCAATTGTCTTCGAAATACGGAGATTGGTGGTCAAATGCTGCGGCTCAACAGATTTTTTAAACTCAAGACTCAAGATGGTCGGTGTATTGACAGATGAAGTCATCGACAAGGACGGTCTCGCGCAACTCTTCAAGACCAGTCGGATGGAAACGCAAGGGGAAAGACTCTTCCAGATTTACATTGGGGTGAAGGCCAAGATGGCCGAGATTGACCGAGTCGACAGCTGCACCGCGTGGATGGTACACTTACTTACCGGAAGCCGTGGCATGGTTGTCAAGCAATGGCTCAGAAGTGGCATGCTGTCGAATCCGCACAGTGCTTCAGGTTCAGGATGCTGAATGCAGCTATGAGGTCAAACAAAAACGATCTGCAGTCTTGACAACGGTGATGGGTGCTGCAGCGAGATTTAGAAAAGGCAGGGTGCCCAACTTGCTTTGCAGCTGCTGCTGCTGCTGCTGCCGCTGCTGCTGCCCTGCTGCTGCTGCTGCTGCTGCTGCTGTTTTTCGTAGTCAGTCGAGGAGAGAGCAAACCCATCGATTGGACTTGCTGCGCAACGCCAGACACACAGCAAGCAAACCTTCCGGCCGGGGCACATTTCCCCCCAGCTCGTCATCGTCCAGGTCAAGGTCTGTGAAGGAGACGTTTCCTCGGAGTAATGACGTAAGGACGCGAGACCCATTGCGACGATTACTCTCACTCCTCAGCTGCTGGTGAGTCGAGTCAGACGCGAGGGAGGGAAGGAGGGGCAAGCGGAGAAATTGGTAGGGAGAGATAGAGAACAAAAACAGATCGACTGAGAAGAAGGGTGGTCGAGTGGTCGAACTATGCCGCATGCATGCATCGAAACTACCACATGGCACGAAGGCAGGACTCATGTAAGTTCTTCTTGCTGAGCCAGAGTCTAACAACTGCAATGGAATCGTTCAGAGGGTTGCCCACCGGTGTAGTTTGCCTCAGGCTTCCAGGAGTGCGAGCTCTTGTAGAAGGGGCCCGGGCCGGGTAGAGTTCAGGTCGAGTGCAGTGACACTTGCTTAACATGTTTCAGCACCATACACAAACAGAACGCGAGCGAAGGTCCGAAAAGCAACAAGCTACACAATCGGCAGTGGCATATGCAGCAATTGACTGACTCGGATCATCTGTGAGTTCTCCTATGTCAACTTTTCCTGCGGCACCGTTCCTTTCAAACAAACTTGCTGGCAACTGTGCAGGATGCACGATGTCTGCAGCAGCCCTCTGCGCACTTGCCAAAGGGCTCAGCCAGAGCAGACTGCGTGTAGATTAGCACATGGCTCTCACCACTAAGAGCGAAGTCCTCAGCCGGCGAATGGCACAGCGAAGTGCTACGAGTATTGTTGCCCTTGGCGCTGGCCCCAAGTCGCCTCACCCCGTTGAAAGTCGCATCACGGCCGCGCTTCCGCATGGTGACGCGCGATTCGGCGAAAGTCACATCACATGCCAAAAAATCACAACAATTAGTCAATCACGAAGGTGACGTGCGAAATGACATGGTGTCGCCGCAGGAGGAAAACCATACGATTCGATGGAAATGCTGCGACAGCCTTGGGAATATGCGGAGAATGGACGCTTCATCCATGTCTCAAACACACATGGCATCCGGCAATTCCCGATGTAGACGCTCGATTTCACAAGCGTGCCAGCTAGACATACATCAGTCACATCAGTGCCATCATAACACATCAAAACCAGCAAATCCCCATGGAGACGCTCCATTCACAAGCGCACGCGCAAGACATTCATCAGTTGCATCACAAGGTGACGCTGCACAAACAAGCATGCAAGATGTGATCACAGCAGCGGATTGTATGGCTTGAAAATACGTTTCCGAAAGGTGACGCTGTACAAACAAGCATACAAGGTGTATCACAGTAGTGGATTGTATGGCTTCACAATACGTTTCCGCACGGTGACGCGGGATTATCGCGACTTTCGGCGGCGCGTAGCGACTTAGGGCCTGCACCAAGTATCTTGCAGTTCTGGAAAAACACGCGGTTTCAAGAGCAGCCACGTTCAGAGACACTTGTGCCTTGCCTTCTTGCAAGCTGCCAGTGCATCAAGCTATCACTGCAAACCCTGCCAATCTCCCAATGGAGTCCCGATGCTGATACATTCGAGCCGAGTAAGCTTAGTCAGCGGACATCGATTCGCCTAGGGCCTAGGTCGATGTCACACTCCCTTTCAGTCCGACTCTGCTGTGCTGCCAGATTTCCGGGGCCAAGTCCAACTCGGCCAGGGTGACATCAACGGAACCATTGGGGATCTTGAGCCAGTCCTCGTGAAGCAGCACTCACACGACTCGGCCCAATAGAAACGACATCTTGACGCGAACACGACACTGGTCCTGTGTGCCATTCACATGCTGGCCCGCAGCAAAGGGGTCTGCAACACTGAAGTAAAGCTTGTAGTACACCACCTTCGGGAGCACACCAAGGCAGTGATGGCAGTGTAAGTGGCTAGAAAGTATCGTCCTATGAGGTCAGACCTATCAAGATCCACACTAAAACTGCAGGATTTGGTGCCTGTTGTCGATCAGGCGGTCGATCCCACGTCAGGGTTCCGCCAACTTCACCCTGTGGACGATGCGAATGCACGCCAGCGATCACGAAAGGTGCCAATCTGAACTGAGCATCTCCAGAGACAAGATGAACGTGATAGACAGCAGCTAGCTTTCCGGTTGATCCCGACCTATCTCAGAGTCTCAACACTTGGGTACTAGTCGAAGGGTGAGGCTGGCACGGCAACAAGAGATCATAGAGCTCCTGGATCAAATGTTCTCAAAGAACCCACAAGTCCTCGTCCAGGTCCAAATCCAGAAAGTCCTTGACTTGAATGCGCAGAGCTGTCAGAAACGGATGGTGTTCACCGTCGATTCACCGTGTCGACACTTCGAATCACCTCAACATGGAAACCTTGCTTCGGGCGGCAAACCTCTGGCAACGCTTAAGATCTAACCAAGCGTCAACTCCTGACACACTGGCAATCGTGTCGCTTATTGCCACTGCCGCCTCCGAAAGACGGCACATCAAAACGCACGTGTCGGGCTAAATGAACACCGAGGCAACTCCCAAAGCGGCAGCTCATCAACGCAAAGATGCTGAACAATCAGTGCAGACATGCCAGCTTTCCATGCCTGTCTAGGAACAGAACAAGACAAGAAATGCAAACACAAGATAGAGATAGATAGGCAAATAAACATCGACATGTGTCTATAAATTTACCGACAAGTCCTTAAGCGTCGTCCTTTGAAAGAAGCATTGAGGATCTGGGACATGGACTGGCGTGGTCTGCTCCAGGAGCACAGAGCGTGTGAACACAGTCACGAAGCCAATTTGGCCCTGAGCACATCAAGTTTAAGTTCATCCAGCCCTTCGCCGACATGCTCCTATTTGCAAACCCATCTGCACTCCCAGGACATCCCAGCAAGAGATATGAAAAGCGAGTAGGTAGACGCGGCTTCCAATTACTGCATGCATGGTCCTTCTGTCGCTCCAGTTGCAATTCTGAAATCAGCTTGTCTTGCATTCCAAGCTGCCCTCGTAGTGTCCGGCAGAAGCAGGAGCTTGTTCGTCCCGACGAGCTCTTGTCCCACCTCCGCCGCTCAGGTGCCAACTTCTTGTTCATTTCGCAACAGCAATAGGCTCTTCCTCATGTGTGAACTTCGTCTATCTTATGCGTAAACGAAGCAAACCTTGCTTGCTGTTGTTCCTCTCATTGAGGCACCTTCTGCCGGCCAGTTCCATCAGCACCAACAGACAGGTACAGAACGTAGTCAGTCGTTCTGATATTGTCGGCCTTGGGCTGACAAGCAGGCGGACATGTTACAACCAGTCTAATGAGCCCAGCTGCTGGCGGATTCCACTGAATCCTGAGCTGTCCAAACTTCCGAACTGCAAGCTACTGCAAGTCACTGGACGTGGGCGGGGAAGAAAAATCTTGCGAACACTGCAGTGCAGATGCAGATGCAGCAGAGGCGCGTGCCCCCAAGGTCATCGTAGTCCAGATCTTGATCCAAAAAGTCGGCATTTCGCACCGTGGCGAATGTGTCACCTTGTAACACTAAACGCATTCCCGGATTGAACAAATCTAGTCATTGACCCTCGCATTCACACCCACTCAAGCATGTCATCTGAGACAGCTCTCCCGGCCCCGATCTCTTTGTCGTTGCACAGTCACAGTCATCCAAGACAGAGACAGCTACCTTCGAAATTACGTGACACATGACAACAAAGTGCAGGATTCCAAAACCTCAAGTGCAAAAGAGCCCTTCATGATCGTCTGTTCTATCCTGTTCTCAGGGTTGAAGCCCTTGGGCTCAGCTGGTTCCCAGGGTGAGCAAAGCGCTGCCGACTTTGCCACATTGGCCGCTGCTAAGAAACGGCTCGTTGGTGCCCTACCCTGCATCCGCAGTCGCAGACCGAAAAGACTAGAATCGAGAAGGAACTGCAGCTTAGATACTTATGGGCAGACTTGCTGGTGTGCTCTGCTCCGCCAAGATCGACCTGGCGTAGCTCGTCTTCGTTATCGCGGGGATTTAGGGAGTTCTGTGCTACAGTCCTTTGCGCACATGTATGCGAGCAAAAGTGCAAGAGGCTGGGCTTGTGACATGTGGACACAAATCAATCACATCATTTCTGTTCTTGATACAAGAATGACAAAGCCGAGCAGGAAATGTATACATATTTGCGATATCGGCTGGCGACCTAGCTTATCACAACAGGAGCTGGATCATGATTAAGGCATTCCGCACAAGACCCTCAACTCCTGTCTAACCGGCTTTTGGTTTTGGGTTGTCGAGTGTGGTCTCTTATCAAGACGAGACCCACGTCCCAAGCTTCCCAAAACCATGAAGGGCCCCAAAGCTCCCGAAATCGAGGAGGGAATTGCATGAGGTCTGAGTCCGCATTTTGCCACACGTATCAGGATTGAAGGCCAGCACAGAAATGCAGTATGGCGTCGAGGCCCAAAGCGCTAACCCTAGACTCAAAAAGCAATGCGCGATAAAATCCTGAAAGGCACCGCTCTGCAGTGCCTGGTGTACACAAGTACATGGGAGTAGTTCTGCAGGGGCTGCTCCTGACTCGCCGAACGGCTTGAGGCTGCAATGCACACGTCTTCGGGCATCTGGACACAGAAATTCCCTCTGCCCGAGTCTAACAGCTCCCTGGCATGAAACCGCCAAGGCACTGGCTGCAGGAAGGCCTCTGTGTCGAAGGGTTGATTGGCAATCCTGTGCGCTTACATGCCTCGCCTCTGCAGTGTCTGCAATACTGAAGACGGAAGACGAAACTCCAGTCACAAGATATCTTGTGCTCTTGAGATGAACGTGCCTTGCGTCCGAAAGTGAGACTCCCCCAAAACAAAATCGCAACTTCAACATTGAAGACGGATCCGCAGGCAGTCGACTGGGGCGCATTTGCAACTTCAAGAAGCTTGCAGTATCCCGGCAAGTCACTGGAAGCGCGAGCCACCGAAGGCATCGGATGCAAGGTAGGAAACGAAGTGTGACACCTCCCACGGTCCAAAGCGCAGGCTACTCGATAGGTCGCCCAGTTTAGCAACAGTGATGACTGAACAAACCAAAGCGAGCAGGTACAATCGGCATTCCGTGCACTAGCTACATTAAACCGTTACACTCGTCGCATTGCGTTGAGGCCAACGAGAACAGGACAGGAGCGCAACGGCCAGATGCCGGAGTCGCCTGCGCCATGTCATCCGGAAGCAACCACGTCACATTGCCACCGAGCTCGTTGTCATCCAAATCGTCATCCAAGAATTCGATGCTGGACACGCTTGCGTTCGTATTGTTGATGACCTGATCTCAACTCAAGCACTCCATGAAAGCAGAGAAAGATAGAAAAAGCAATACTCTCACTGCACATGACTTGCACATGCAGGGCTCCGCCGGGGCACGAAAACATGCGGTGTAGACTGCTCCACGAGCGAAGAACCTCAGCTTTCGGCCAATCTGAGAATACCCGGACTCATTCCACGTTGCATCAAGAGACCCGAATAGACCCGAGCTGCAAATTGACAAACTTGAACTTCTTATGCAAGTGCAATGTCGAGTCTGCACTGCAGCAGGGGGGCGGGTGTAGACCTGAATGTGCGAAAACGCGCCCTGAAGGAAGTCTACAGGAACGTGAATGATGTTCGTGCCCACCTGCCGCGAGCGAATGGCACAAAACCATTCTGGTGGAGCAGGGCGAAGCAAGCACCAACGACTTGATGCTGACGTGCAGGCACAAACCATGAGGAGTCAGCAACCACCGTATTGAAATCATATTTTATCTCAAGCGAAAGGCATGCAAAGCGTCCAGTTGGTAGTTTCAGGCTGAAGGGTTCAAGGAACTCCCCCAAATTGCAGCACCGCTCAGGCGGCGGCATTTCCAAGTCGACACCAACATCGGGCCCGACTAAAACCCGAGAAGCATTTCCGTCCTCATGAAACCTCAACGCCTTCGAACAGCGGGGAAGAGGATTTCAGAACTACGACACATGGGGACATGCCTCGACAGAATCTCCCAACTGCGAGCGATTCGTTCCCGTAGCGTCCGGGAATTCAACCTCAGAGTCTGGGCGCTTGAGTTTCAATTTTGACTGCATGCGACTGCATGAAACTTCTAATTACTCGCAAGCTGCAGCGCAAAGCTTGAGTTCGAAATGCTTCCAAACGGCTGCAGTTTACGTGTCCACACCGAACAGGCTAATTACTGTCTTGCTTCGATGAGACCTTTTGCAACCACCATCCCCGCAGTGGCAACAGCAGAAGAGCCACATTTTGATCTGCAAGTAGAAATAGCCCACAAAACTGCAAGGATACCCTACGACCCTACAAGTCTGATGCGTCCATCAGTCCAGCAGCGAAGTAAACATCATAATGGGTGACGTGTGTCAGATCCTGAGCACAAGCACATTTGAGAAGCACTTCGCACTCCGTAGATGCTCATTGTCTTTCACAATCTTTCACCATGTATGCTCTGGTTTCAACTGAAAGATCGTGAAAGCCATCAGTTGAAATGTTGCGTCACGTGTCCGCCTTTCCTCATGCTCGGCAAGGCTTCGTCCAGCAACACGACTTGAAGACAACTACACGGAGATCCAAACAGCCTGCAATCGGGTTTTGATGAAAGTGTGGGAGAACCCGACTGTGGCGAACGGCAGCCTTCAATTGATACAGTCCAGGGTCGGCCGGTGCTTTCCAGGTAATTGGTCCGCCAAGCTCTGCCTCATCAAGGTCCTTTGCCACGTGTGGAAAGGTGCTCAGTCGCAACCCGATGTGCCGCTCCGTTCATGAGACCCCTCCTGCTCTTGGAAGGCTCCGCCACTGACAGAGGCATTCACGTCCACGATGGCAAAGCCTCCCGGCCGAGAGCGCACACTACAAGCACGAGGCCTGAGGCTCTGTAAACTTTAGGCCACAGAAGTGGCAGCTCCGTTTCCAGCTGGTCCATGTAAGCTAAGCCTGAAAATTCCTGTCCGTGGAAGTCTGCAGAAGCGTGGTGTGAATTGCAAGCTATGGATGCAAGAATGTCCCATGGCGGCAGGTTGACCCGACGATGCTACGATGCAATCGAGACACTGATGGGGGTCGACTGCTCTGCAAGTGTCGACTTGGTGTAGACCTGGGTGCTCGGGCTCGCAGGCACGTCGAGGGTCCAGTCCTGGTTCTCTGGCAAAGTGTCAACAGCCAAGCGGCGAGGACCTGTGAGTACTCGGACCGCACCGCAACGTCCTGGGAACCAAAGTAAACTTCTGAATCCGAAGCCCCAGTCATAGCTGGTCAAAGTCAGAGCACCATCAATGAGCGGGCCTTTCGGTTCTAGATTCCAGCTAGGTTCTTTCGCGCTAGTAAGACTGGAACCGGTAAATTTCAGTCCAACGGCTTTTCAGACCCCACCTCCCTCGCATGCGTGCTGTTCAAACACAACATCAGATCATAACCGGCGCACCCAAACGATGCCACAAGACTCTGCAGAAGAGGTTTTTACTCAGTTTGAAGGGCCGTAAACACTGCTAAGCTGGTGCCGCCGGAAAAGGCGACGAGCTGACAAGACTCCGGCTCGCGGATGGGCTGCTCCGGTAGCAGGCTGATGTCAAAAGAGTTCCATGGAACTTCGGAGCCCACCTGTTGAGGATGCGACACAGCCAGTCCTCAGACTAAGAGACCCGTCAGTTAAAGCCGCAATTGAATCCTTAGGCAGCAGATGAGCAGATGCCTTTGAGAACGCAGGAGTCTTATACTTTAGGAGACAGCTTTCAACACAGCGAAGCCCTTAACAGTCTAACTGCGCCTGCAAAGTTTTCTGGCGCATGCAACCACAGAGTCTAGCGATCTTCCATTGCAGGGCGCTGGGCATGGCAGTGGCGACTTTTTGGCTAAATATGAGAACACCCCGCCACCAATCCCCACGATTCGCTCCAGCTCAAAACACTCCAACCCGGGGTCGTGAGTGGACTGTGAGGGCTGATGCGCCTGTGATCGGTTTCCGCCGAACTGATCCTCGGCTATGTAGACGACCTTGCAGAATCGGAGGGCTTGGAAAAGGCCTTGCCGACTGCAGAATCACGGCCGCTATGTACTTCATGTTGAATGCCCGTCGGGTGACGCCCCAGTCAGAAAAAGGAGTCCGAAACGGTAGAGACCAATTCAGAAAACCTAGGGGGCCGAGTCAGAAAGTGGAGAGGCCTGAGTCGAAACGAGGGCTGCGCGAGTCGGAAAGAAGGGCTAGCGAGTCAGAAAACAACACAAAGGCCCTAAATCCTAAACCCTAAACCCTAAAACCTAAACCCCTAAACCCTGAACCCGGAGGGGGTGTCGGCAGATGTTTTCGACTCAGGGTCTCCCTGGTTTTCGACACGAGGCCGTGGTGTTTTAGACTCGGCGGGCTCGACTCGAAAGCAGATTTGCTGACTTGACAATCACCCGTCCATGAAACACAACATCTGCAAAAACAGATCCGAAATCTTCAGTGTTTCAAGCTGCACTCACAGGACCATGATACTCTGCAATTACAGCCACAAGCCTTATGCGCCAATCAAGGAGCTAGCTGCATGTTGGTACCCTTCTGGACCTCAACCTACATTGCAGCACCTTTCGGCATCCTACATCTCATGGAGATAATAGTTCACGCAAGTGTGACAAGCAAATCAGAGCAACAGCTTGCCAAGATTTGCCAAGAAACATAATGTGCCACCAATGCAGGATCGGCAGGCTCGGTCCAGCTGATGGTGCCTGCAGTCGCGTCCAATAGTGCAGTGGAAGCGACAGGAACATGGGACGAGGAATGCATGGCACAATTCCATCAGCGGAACAAGAGATCTTGGGCAGCTTTTGTAACGTTGTGCTAACGCTACTGGGTTTGGTCTGTCAATGTCCGTGACCCGGACCAACAGGGAGCATCCATAAACGCGTGAATCGCTGACCAAGGGCCATGTAAAGCCTGCAACAACCCTTCGAAAGATCACCCCGCCCGACACAGGCCTCCGATTTCTTCGGCGTCGAGATCTCGGTCGGTAAAGCTGATCGAGGACACACTCGAGTCGGTGTCCTGCGAGGGCAAAGCCGCGCTGGCGAATAGGCAAGAATCCCAACAAGCCTTGACGGAACACAAACACCCTCCAGGCTGTGAATATGCCTGACTTCTCGGAAGATCGATTCATGCACTCCCCAGCATCGCTGCGGCAACAGGGCAGCATGGCCTCAAAACCGTGACCCTGAGCTCGCCAAACCCCATCTGCAGACGGGCAGCGTTAAATGCAAGCGCCAGGGGTGTGGTCTGCTCTGCCAAAGAGGAGGAAGCATACCTTGCTCCACGAGGCAATGCTGAGATATTGGTCAGTCATTACAGCCAGATTCCCTCCATAAGATGCCTTTGTGATCCTTGATAACATGGCGTGGAATCCCGGCTTGATGAGCTTCAGACTTGCTGGAGAGACGGACCCTGAAACAACGACTACGAGCTGTCTGCAACTGAATTGCACCAGGACGGTGGACAGAGTGCCCGTCGGCTGGTCGGATGGAAGATCGATCTGGTGCACCTAAGCCAAGCGATGCCAACGCTCTACAAAAAGAGGGCAGTCCAGCGGTGCAGCCCAGTCGCATCTTCCGTCGTATTGCCCAGCAGTGATCTCATGCTACCATCGGCCTCCGCAAAGTAAACATAGTATCCGGTCACCTGCACAGATGAAGCATCCTGGGGACTGACGTGCAAAATCCTTGATCTTCTCGCTGTGCTCTTACCTGCTCTCCTTCACTGTTGGCCCATGCCTGCATGTGGTCGGGCGAGGGCAGCCACGTGACCTCACCTCCCAGTTCGCCCAAATCCAAGTCCAAGTCCTCGCGCGGTGGCAGGTTCTCATTAACGGGCGCGAGTTCGCAGGTCATGCCTCGCTGGCCTCGCTGTTTGAAGCTTGATTTGGAGAGCAGCTGTCACTGTTTTGCCGACTTTGTTTGCAACAGCAGACTTCCGTCTGACACCCAAATGAGATTGACGACAACTAACGAGAAGACGTGAAGTGTTGGGCCAGGTTGAACACGCAGGAGTCGTGAAGAATCTCTCAAGACACCTCGACAGGCACTTAAGTTCCACGGCCAGGCTCCGCTTCGATGCCATGACCACTGCAGGTGCTTCAGCCCATCAGGCCTAGAGTCACTCGAGTACGAAAGGGAGCCCCAAGAAAGTCCCGTCTTGAAGCCTCCGTCACCCCATCAAACATCCACAGCCCTCGCCGGGTCCGTGAAGTTGACTTCCAGCACCTGCGAAGCAGAGTCACTGAGGCCGAAGGCCACCGGGGTGGTCTGCTCCACGAAAGATGATGCTGCATACCTTGGAAGTGATCCGCAGCTAGACTGCATTGCCTAAGTTGCGGGGGAGGGGGAGCCTCGTCCATACGCTAACGGGTTCGGGCTGATGAGACTTCGAGCTCCGTATGCAGTACAAAATCACATTACACGTCAATGGAGTTGGCTTTGTTGACAAGCTGACAGCAAACAAAGCCAAGCCCCGAAGCACGGAGATGCACTACCGAGCCAAGCGCACATAACCGCGGTAGTGGTGCACCACAACGAACTTGGAGCTGTTGATCGCATGGTCCGGGCTCAGGTCGATGAAATTGCTCCCAACCTCATTCCGCTGTTGCTTGCTCCCGTTCGTTTACTGGCTCTCCGACGTGCACGTGCAGACCGCTTGCAAGGACTACAGAGGGGCTAGAGAGCAGCTGAAGCCTTCAAGCTTCTGTGTTGGCAGTGCTGGTTGGACTTGACGCTTGCTCGACGTTCAACTTGAATCTCACTCAGCAGGGGTCACCTGCCGAACAACACCTAGAAGAACCTGGAATCTCCAGCAGCATAGAGTGTGTCTGAGGGCACGGCGGTCACGAAGGTCCCAACAGGCGAGCGACCCGAGCCTCGCAGGCAGGGCAGGAGCTTGGCTTCGTGCAGGATATTGTAGGATCATATGGCCCTCCGCAGGGTGAGGAAGGCTATTGGCATTGGCGTTCCAGGGCATGTCGTCGGAGTGTCCTCTTGTCCCGAGTTGTTAGTAGTGGTGAGTGGGGGTGTTGAGCGCTGGTGGCAGGCCGGGGAGCGGTGGTGGAAGCGGCGGTGGCGGTGCTGTTACATTGTCCGCAACGTTGGTGCTGTTGTCTTTGCCGTTTGGATGGTGGTGGTGGTGGTGGTGGCGGTGGCGTTGGT